TGATGGTGATGGTGGTGATGTTAATGACGATGATGGTGGTGATGTTGATGGTGGTGATGTTGATGGTGGTGATGTTGATGGTGGTGATGATGATGGTGGTGATGTAAATGACGATGATGATGGTGGTGATGTTGATGGTGGTGATGATGATGATGGAGATGATGATGGTGATGATGATGGTGGTGATGTGGATGGTGGTGATTATGATGGTGTTAATGATGATGATACATGCTGATGATGCACGATGATGATGATGATGATGATGATGATGATACATGCTGATGATGCACGATGATGATGATGATGATGCATGCTGATGATGCACGATGATGATGATGATGATGATGATGCACGATGATGATGATGATGATGATGGTGATGATGATGCACGATGATGATGCACGATGATGATGCACGATGATGATGATGATGATGATGGTGATGATGATACATGCTGATGATGCACGATGATGATGATGATGATGATGATGATGCTAATTATGATCATTATTATTTCTAGGAGCACATAAGACCAAGTTCATACCTGGTCTTGTTGGACCTTTCCTGGAAATGACTCTACTACCACAGAAAGGTACTCATACTTTAAGTATACTCACTACACATCTACATATACCATAATTATAATCGCACTTTTACAATTTCCTGGAAGAGTCCCTTACGGGGAGCGATAGTTGTAACTTATCTTCCTCAAACAATGACCTTTATACTCATTTCACCTGCCTCTCTTTATAGATCTCAGGAAGGCAACAATCCCAATATTTTTCGACATGATTGAAGTAGAATACCGAACTTCTGGGGGATTCGTTAATGTAAGTAATTGCTGGGTTTCACATGACGTCATTTCCTGTCTCGTGCGGAGTGTTCATCAGCTGAATCACAAGTTTTCAATACATAATTCTTTCTGGTTAACAGCACATGGTGGTTAGTGCTTGACCACCATGTGGAGCAGATAATTAGATTCAGAGACTTTGATCAGCTGATTAAAACCTAGCATTACGACACGTGATCTTCCAGAACTTGTCAGGTTAACGATTTGTTAAGAGTGAGTTATATTTAAAAAAATGCGGTGGGACAACGAAAATTTGATATTCCTGCCGGTCTTGTTTTCAGGTGGAGACAGAAATGTTCCGCAAGCTTGATGTGCTGGTTGAAGGTGGCAAAGGAGATGAAGAATACAAAGAACTCTTCCAAAAGACGTTAGTACACGTGATCCTAGACTGCATTCTGATTGGCTATCTGATTGGTTTAGTCGCTTTATGACGTAATTGATATTTTTATGTCTGCAGTCATGAGTTCGATTCCCGTCTGGGGCTCAGATTTTTCTGAGTCAGACGTTGTTCCAATCTTGTCTTCTTTCATAAAGTTTTCTTTTTATGTGAAAAATACTCAAATCGAAGACAAAAAACGAACAAAAGAAACGAAATCAAAAACAATAACAATAAAACAAACCAATAAATTATAATGCACATATTGAATTTTGGAGTTGACGCCATCTAAGTCTTGACGACCACATCAGGAACGCTGTATAACTTATCGTGTCTAAATAAATATTATTATTATTATTATTATTATTATTATTATTATCTTAAGTTACTCTGATTAATAATTGGTGACGTAACACTTTCCACTTCAATATAATTAAAACATCTGTTTTTCTTCCTATTTGCAATTGGAACAAATGGTACCACAAGACAAGGGCTGATGCGATAGGGCGAATTCCATAATGACGTAACATACGTCCTTCGAAAAAGGCGACCATCTGCACGCCCACTGACCACATTTATTATTTTTCTCAGACAATGATTTTCCTTTTTCCTTTATCTTTCACAGTTCTTCATCTCAGTGTTTTAATATCCTCAATTTTCGTTATTGTTTCATACAGGCTGGGTGATTTGTTTGTAAGTCACCCCCAACTCAGTAGCCAAGGGCAGTTGTTTGTCGAGGGCGTTACTAAGCTCATGGAAAGACTGCTGGATTATCGTACCGTGGTACAAGGTGATGACAACATTGATAACAGAATGAGTTGTACTGTAAATGTACTGGTAAGTAAGCCGAATATTCTTTTTTGTCTTTGAATTCTTACAACAAACAAAATGGAGTGAATATTGATGAAGGCTAAGATTTATTAAGTGTTATTCAGGGACTTAAAGGAACACTTTTAGTTGCTCATAACCATATAGAGCGTTTTCGCGTGACGTCACAGCGGCCATTATGGGGTAACAAAACAATACATTTTCTATCCTCCGAGAATTGAACTCTATTTTTATGCAAACACTCTGCAGTAAGTTTTTGTTGTTTATGGCTGCCTTCTCACGTGAGTGAAAACGCTCTATTAAATGACAGGTACATCGGACTCTTGTTCATAAAGAACAGAAACAGTGATTTGAGTTTTTCAAATTTAAAAAAATAAAACAACAATAATGCACAGCTATTGTATATAACGTACATCTTTAAGGGTTTAGGTCGGTAGTTAAGGAGAAAATAGTTCCTAAAAGATACTTGACAAAGAATGCGTAAAAGAAAGTTTAGAAAATGTAGAACCTCATAACCTCATAATGAAGTACTCAAATTTAGAAATAAAAAAAATGTTTAAGACAATTCAAATGTGTTCAGGGACAGGATGGATGGGATCGTACTGCCCTCAATAACTCTTTTTTTCTGTCTTTAGAATTTTTACAAAAACATCAGGAGAGAGGAGATGTTCATACGGTAAGATCGCACATGCGCAGTGTTGGCATTATACGTGCCATAGAGAAACGTTTACGCATGCGCGGCACATTTCATAAGAATTCACTAACATTTTAATTGAATTACCGTTCAATTTCAATACTTTTTCTATCGTAAGAACACGAAGGCGCAAACTAAACCACCTGAAATTAATGGTTTATACAGCCGCCATCTTGGATAAATTTAATAAGATTCATCATTAGTCTCTTTTGTTATACATGTATCATCCAACATGGCTGCCGTGTCTTTTGTTATTTCATTCTCTTGGGAATGATTGAAAACCAGCAATAGACCCTTATATCTCGGGAGTAATGCTTTCCCATTTCAGACCATGTGTCATTCTCTAGAGTCTCATTTCTTTGTTTTATGTTGTCATTAGAAGATGCATGAATATAGATACAGCTCAACCAAAGAATTTTATTCTCGAGAGAATGACACGTGGTCTGAAATGGGGAAACATTATGCCTAAAATAAAAGGACGTATTTGCTCGTGTTATATTAATATACTCTTATCGTTCGTGTTGTGATTTTGTTCAGATATGTCTACAAACTCTGCGATCTGCACTTGTCTGTTGATAACTTTACTGAGGCTGCCTACACTCTGCGGTTACACGCTGACCTGTTGGAGGTGAGGACACCATAAACCACAGTACCCTTCAACCCCTTCAAATATTATTGATACCCTGAAACAACCTCGAGTCTGGGCTGATCTAAGTCAGGGCACGGCTAATTAATATATCGAATCTTGAAACAACCTCTGAGGGAATAATAGGCTAACTCAGAGATCAAACCCTGAAACAACCTCTGGGCTGATCTAAGTCAAGGCAAGGCTATCTCACAGATTGAACCCTAAAACAACCTCTGGGCTGATCTAAGTCAGAGCACGGCTAACTCACAGATCGAACCCTGAAACAACCTCTGGGCTGGCTGATCTAAGTCAGCGCATGACTAACTCACAGATCGAACCCTGAAACAACCTCTGGGCTGATCTAGGTCAGGGCAAGGCTAACTCACAGATTGAACACAGAAACAACCTCTGGGCTGGCTGATCTAAGTCAGCGCATGACTAACTCACAGATCGAACCCTGAAACAACCTCTGGGCTGATCTAAGTCAGGGCATGGCTAACTCATAGATTGAACCCTGAAACAACCTCTGGSCTGATCTAAGTCAGGGCATGGATAACTCACAGATTAAACCCTGAAACAACCTCTGGCCTGATCTAAGTCAGGGCACGGCTAACTCACGGATTGAACCCTGAAACAACCTCTGGGCTGACCTAAGTCAGGGCATGGCTTACTCGCAGATCGAACCCTGAAACAACCTCTGGGGTGATCGACTCACATGTAATATCTAGTCTTGGAATCAAACCCGAGACACAGAGGTGAGAGTCGAGTGTACTTGCGCCACCCATGATTCTGAATTRCCTCCACACACCTGCATTCGTTTTTTTGCAACATGTATGCCTTCCATTTATAACTATTGCCTGTTTATTGCTGTTGCATTTCAGTGGTCAGACGAACAGGTATTCTCAGGTCAAGGGAAGTACATAGCAGAGACGCAACGTCAATTGAAAGAATTGCTTTACAAAGACATTATCTTGTACTTTGATAAGGGAAAGGTACTGAATATCTAATCAGTATAAACGTATTTCAATTAAACTAGTCACCTAAACTGAGACCGCTGGGGATCGTGGGAAATATTTCATGTCAAACGAGTAGAATTTTTTTTGTACAAACTCCAGCTTAACGATGCTCACAAGAGATGAAACTGTGACTGTTTGAAGTTCTCAAGTCCATTATTAGTTATCTAGTGTATCCCCTGTGAGCATCAAAACTAATGATAATAAAACTCTTAAAGCGACGGGTATGAAATTTTTCGCAATTTCAGGCCACGTGTACCTTCTTTGGGTAAATACCTTCATGCTCTTTCATAGTATATTTAACGATTTCAGAATTAAAAATTGTCGATCGGGTATTCCACAAGGCTTCATATTAGGACCCCTTCTAGCATGTTTTTCGCTTTTGGAATGATTTAATAAGCAATCAAAGTTCTAACTAAACATTTGCTTCAGCATTTAATTATAAAATTTACGACAACTAGATTGGCCGTCGACGTTTCGATAATCGGACATCAATCCCAAAGTGTTTACATAAGCAATGGATTCAAAATTTAGAAGTAAAATTTTGTTTTATTTTTTTAGAGTTGGGAAGAAGCCATCTCGATGTGCAAGGAGCTGGCCAAGCAATACGAAGAGCAAACGTTTGAGTACATCAAACTAAGCGAGCTTCTTGTAAGCATACCCCAGTCTTCTATGGAACCATTAGTCTTCTCCGCGGCCGTCATTAGTTTCGGTCCCATACCCTCACGGGCTAACTAAGTGGAGAGGGCGCGAAACTAATGACGGCTGTGGAGGAGACTAGGAATCCATTGGCAATATCCTTTATCAGATCACGTGATCGACCCCTAATTTTGATGTATGACGTGACGAAGAACTTTGGAACGTCACGTGACTGTTTCACGATTTTTAGGATAGTTTTAGGTTTTTTTCATTTTTTAAAATAAAAAATCATGAAAAATATAAATAGTGACCTTAGTTTTTTTACCTTAGTTTTTATAGTTTTTATAGTTTTTTTCATAAAAAAATTGATAAGAGAAATAATTATGAATAGTTATAAATATAATTAAATAAATGTTTATATTATATCTGTTTTGAAGAAACAACAAGCGAAGTTTTACGATAATATCATCACTCAAGTACGCGGTGAACCAGAGTATTTCAGAGTGGCTTTCTACGGGAAAGGATTCCCTACTTTCCTTAAGGTAAGACTGTTTTTATATCTGACGACTGTGCATAAAACTACTTGTCCGTGTTGTGAGTCTGAAATAATTAATACATGGAGGTTATCAGTGAGCTAAGCAACTGACACGGCTGTGTATTTTTACGAGTCACGGAAAAATCTCGTCAAATTACAAGTGACGAGTAAAAATGCAAAGTCGTATCAGATGCTAAGCCTACAGATAAGTTGTTGTTTATCATTTAATTCTGCAAAGAAATGCTCAAACTCTCTCTATAGTAATACTAAACCCTATCTTACCCAGCGCGAGAAGATGARAAGTGCTGATACGGTCTCATATCAGGCATGTTCTTTTCTCATATCACGCACGTTCTTTGCAGCGTTAAATGATAAGTATTTTAGCAACCCTTGCTGACCAGACCGTTTTTTTAGGACAAAGTGTTTGTTTATCGCGGTAAAGAATACCAGAGACTATCTGACTTTGGCGTTAAACTACAGAGCCAATATCCAAGTGCTGAGGTGAGTATTTCCTTTCCTTTTCTTCGGGTTTTCCTCCTATTTTTCGGTGCTTTCCTGGAATTGTATTATTCTGAGACTTCATGTCTCTCCATCTTTCTTTACTGTTTTATCTGGCCTCTTGTTCGCTTTGTCATTTTTCTTTTATCTATGGGGCTTTCGGCCTTTCCGTCGCCAACCGTTCTCTTCCTTCCTCTTCTCTATCTCTACGTTCTTGTCAAAACCAAATTAATATTTAAACAACTGTCGAAATCACTTTTTATTTAAGTGTCTAGTCGTTCTAGCGCTTTCGCACTAATTGGGGATACTTTTCACTCACACACACCACTGCTACATTCAATATTCTTTGCACATGACACTCAACTCGCATGTTGATTTTTATGGAGGGAGGAAAACCAGAGAACCGAAGATATCATTCGAAGGCACTCGAATTAAGAGAGAAAGATAACCTCTACTCGCGTGTTATGGCTAATTCAGGCATCAAACCCGAGACCCCAGAAGTGAGATGCGAGTGATCTATCGCTGCATCACCCTTGATGATTTTACGTCACTTGATTCAATTTTTTTATTATATGACAGTTTAGTAACTTATCACATGAATTGTTGTTTTCCAGAATCTGAAGTATCTCTCAGCACCTAAAGATGATGTCAGGAACTCCAATGGACAATGTATCCTTTGTTTCATTCATTTTTTTATTCCTCCCTCCTCTCCCTCTCCCTCTCCCTCTCCCTCTCCCTCTCCCTCTCCCTCTCCCTCTCCCTC